AAAACAATAATTTTACTAGCCTATTTGTATACAAAAACTATTTAAATCTTTATAAGAGAGTATACCTACCATTAATTAAATATTCCACCATTATTTCCGCCCCAATATTAATTCATTACATACTTAATTGTGTTAGTTAATAAATTATTCTAAATAAATGTCGATATGAAATAGAAATTAATATAATAATAAGTTATGATAATGAACATCTTTGTTATTATAAATAAGAATTCGTCAAAAAATAAAATATAATTTTTAAGGTGTTACTTTTTACCACTGTCTAATACACATACAAAATTCAGTTTTTTAGTATTTGAAGCAATTATTATTATTCAACGCAAACAGTCAATTAATGTAGTTTGAATACTGGAATCATATTAATTACATCTTTAAAAATAATCTAAAATGGCAAAATTCCATGGGGGATAAACGAGGTCTAAATTATAAGAAAATTATAGAGAAATGAAGTATTAAAATCATTACTGTATTTTGACAAAAACCTAAGTTAAACGGTAAGATTAAAATGCGGTAAACCTTAATCAAATTTACCTTTATTTTAATCGTAGAAACTAAAAATGTAATAATATACAGGGTCTTCCATTTAAAAAAATACAACTTTGATATTTTTTATTTATTTGGGACACTCTGTATCGTGTAAAAATGTTTTTAAATTGTAGCTCTAATAGTCCTTCAACGAATCCAAAACTTACAATTTGTTTTTCTACTCTAGAAAGTCTAAAAATGGTCATATTCTAAAAACTACTACAGTTTATATTTTTGAAATGAAAATTTTATAACAAATTTACTAAAGAGAAAATAAGAAAAAATCTACAGCACTTAATTTTAGAAAATCAATTTTAATGTAAAAATATATTTAAATCACCTTGTATACCAATGAAAATATTTTTAAAATGTGGTAAAGATTGGAGAGAAAATTTTCTGAATACTTTTTCGGACTACTCGACCACCCTGTATAACATATCTGAACAGTATATGCACATATGTGCAAATAAAATGTCATGGAATATGATTCAATTAATGTTTAACATTAATTTCAAATGAAACACATTTTAGTCACAGTCTAATAAATCATCATTTTGTGTAAAAGATGACAATTTACTTAACGATCGCACTACACGTATATAATTATTACACAAATTATTTGCACATAGAAGTTAGGAACACTTTCAAGTTCAGATCACTTAATGGATATCAACTAAACTACTGGCGACATTTCAGACCGTATAGCTTAACCGATAACGTACCCGATGTGACGTCTATACCGACTGAATAAAACGTTGATATTTTTCCAATAACAGTTAAACGAATAATGAAAGGAAGGGGACACGAGTAGTGAACGGTATGAAAAAATTACTATCATAAGAGTTACAAAACTGGCATCATTTTTGTAGTTTTAAAAACGGTAAGTAGTTATTTGAGACGTCCAAAGGCAATTTGGTTTGGCATATTAATGATATTCATGTTACGAAAGTATTATTTCAGGTAAATGGTTGCAGACATTAAATATTATGGAAATTGAAACTTCTTGCAATATTTGTAAATTAATTATTAGGTAAACTTTCCCGACATTTTTGACAACCAATAAAATAATAAGACAGTATTTTTCGTTTTTTGATTAATGTCACGACACCGTATTTTTAAGTTAAGTTAGTTCCTATTTATTTCTGCAAATATGTATATACAATGAAACTCAAAGATTCAACGTAAAAGCGTTGACTGAAGAAAAAATTGGCTCCGGGAGACACGTATAGCCGCCCATACTAAAATATGTTAATATCTCAAAAACTGCGACTTTGACTGATTTTGATGTTATTACAAATTTTGTTGCAAATATTATTCCTAATCTTAAATTGAAAACCGCGTTTTTCTAGCTACTGTAATTTTGGAGTTACGATTTTTTAAAACCTTTAACCCCCTCCCACACCCCCTTACCAACCCCCTACCCCGAGGGGTGTCTCACTATTGGAATTACCTGTACATTTTCTTGGCAGTCGCTGGCAGTTATTGGCAGTCTTATGGCAGTCACCTATAATAATTATATGGCAGTCATAGGCAGTCTTCTTCATAGTCATTGGCAGTCGCTTAGTAGTGGAAGGATATTTTGGCAGTACATTTTGTGTGTACATTTTTTAACCGAGTGAGACACCTCTCGCCCCACCCCCACCAAAATCTAATGGCCAGATTCTCGGGTGTCACAGTATTTTTGTGCCAAATTTGGTTAAAATCGGTTCAGCGGTTTTTGAGTTATCGTGTTACAGACGGACAGACAGACAGACAGACACCATGAAAATATTTTGTATTTAGGTCAATCATGACCCAAATAACTCATTTTGAGTGAAATTAAAAAAAAACTTTTTTTTTGCCGATCTTAATAGCCTACCATACCTATTGGTATGGTCGGCTAAAAAAGAAGATACGCAACTTAAAGCTCCATCTACATATAAAGTTTTACTGGTCCGTTTTGCGCCTCAGGTAAAACGGAAGACCACAGTGAAGACAGTGGAACGATCCTGTGTTAACCTTTGAACATTTGACAAAGTGTGAAAATAAGAATAATAGTTTAGTATAATTTATTTATTATGGCTCCTGGAAAAAAACGCCACCATGCATATTTTTTGTAAAGAAATAATTTCGGAAACTGATATCCCAAAATGTTTATTATCTATCAAGCTAGCTTTCAATGGTTGGCGAAAATATGGAATTTTATGTTAGTATCACAAATTATAATTGACGATAAGTTTCATAAAAAGCTTAAAAAATTAATAAATTTTAAATTAATTAACGTTCGAGTTTATTTTTGATTGATGTCCTATAACGGGTAAATGAAGCGCTTTTGTATAAAAGTAAATTATATGCAATTAACTTATTTTGATTCAAAAAATACGTAGTTGTTCTATCTCCACGGAATATTAGAACTCTCTGTATATTTTGCAGGTCTGCTTTTGAAAAATACATTCTTCAAAATTTTTTTTCTCAATAACTATGCAATGTGGTGTTTTTTTCAAGAGACAAAAAATGTATACTCTGTTTTTTTTCTCAGGTAACATTTTGACAGACGATGACAGAAGAAAAGCAGATGACGTCCCATGTCCCATACCAATCTATTTATTTTACTAAAAAAAGTTTCTAATATTTTTTAAGTTAATTATGGATGGGTTTAAATATAAATCCGTCATGCGTCGCCTTTTGTTGTTTCTAACCAGGTATATTGGTTTATTTCAAAATTGACAGATCATATTTTAGTTTTATTGGTTGGAGGGAACGATGAACGACAATCGGACGCCCCGATGCATATGAACTCGCCTTTAGATTTTTAATGGTTGTCAAAGTCTTGCCAAATTATAGGTTATAATTTTGTGTCAACCTATGTCAAATATCTGCGTTTTGGAAGATGATGCATTTTGATTCTTGTTATTACGTGTGTTTTGTGTCTTGAAGTCAAGTGGAGGAAAAATCGAGGGAAAATTAACTGTAGACCCAGAGAACAGTCTATATTTAATACTCGCTGCCCAGGCACAAAGTCTTATACCTACACCAATAAAGTGATCATCAATAAAGTTTGTATACCATCTCGTCGTAGATAAGTGCATCTCGTATATGCTACAAAGATCGTACTAAACATATGCTACTGGAGTAGCTGTAAAATATAATCACACGATAGGTAAATAATGGATTTAAGTACTGCAGAAAAATAATGTCAAAAGAAAAAAAAAATTAAAAAAAAATAAGATTAAAGTGGCCGGTCGTAGCTCCAGCGTTAGTGTGTCGCTCTGCGGAGCGGAAGGTACTGGGTTCGATCCGCAGCCAGTACGGTCGCTTTATTTATTTAAATAAAAATATTTATTTATCTAAATAGAGCGACCAACGAGCCGCCACCTCAAGGAAGGCAATGGCACCACCTTGAGTATATTTGCCTTGTACAGCCTCTCAAATAGTGCCGTTCGGATTCGGCAATAAACTGTAGGGTCCCATGTACTTATGAAACACTGATGACACACATCACAAGTACATGCGAGAGGTAGCCAACGCTCTATATAGAGTATGGCACTGTAAGAAGAAGAAGATTAAAGTTAATTAATCAACCTTTAAGGTATAAAATTTGGTTAGCGTTATTATTAATAAAATAGTTTGTTTTATTTATGTTGTTTTATTAATTCCTGTGGAATATTACAAATTTGTATTTGTACATACATAAGTTATATTGATAAATATAACAATAAATGAGGGAAGTTTCTTGAAACTTGAAAGTAAGAAATAGTTTTTTTATATTTTTTTTGGTATGTGGTGTTTTGTTCTTGTTTGTTTTGTATTAAGTAATTATTTGACTGATAAGTAATCACTTATCAGTCAAATTTTAAATATATCTGCTATGCGTTCCAGTTGTACCAACTTATTTCTTTGTAAAATAAAATAAATTACTTTGAAATTAAAATGACAGACACATCTATCACTGTCAGGGATCTTGTCGTAGGAGGGATCTTGACGCAGGGACAGACTATAGTAAATACTAAAGGGACGATTTTACGAAAAGAAAATCTGTCGTCGGTGGAGTTGGAAATAATTTATATTAAAATATATGTAAATATATTTAAATTTATTTATTTATGTATTCACCCTTCCTGTATTTTTTCTTAATTATTTTAAAAGTTAATTATTAAAGCATTTAGCAAAACTTAGACACCTAAAATCTCATTCAACTCAAAATAACGGTTCTTAAAATATCTGAAAAAATGTGTTTATTTTTTTAAGTTTGATGCTCTCTAGCGGACAAACGTAGCACTTTTGTATAGAGGTAAATTGTGGCCAATGAACTTATTTTGATTGAAAAATACGTAGTAGTTGTCCTATGTCCACGGAATATTGGGACACCCTGTATATGAAACCCATTATTCTATTTTTTCAGACAATGAGACAAAAATTTAACAACAATTACTGTACTCAATAAATACAATAAATAATACTAAATGAATAATAATTACTTTGCCCAGTAATCCTGCCATTCCTGCTTAGGCACCTCACTATTTCGATAACATTGAACACTATTCACACTAAAGCTAGGTGGAATTGAACTATCTCGAACAAAATCCGCGTAACTTTGAGGTCTAGTTTTGTCCTTTTTTTGCACGTCACCCAGTTCAGAGTAGATTTCATTCCGAATATCATCCAACATCTTTTCAGTTTCATAATCCATTACGACTTTACTACAAAGAAAACACACTAAACTATATATACGATCTCGGTCTCTGCGAACCTGAAAACTGATTGGCCACAAACAGGAGTAATAATTTCAACATAAAAATTGATTAATTAATCATGGTAGGTCTGGTTCAAATTTCTCGCAGCCTATTATCGTGGAATCGCGTAAAACCGTACTGAAAATGAAATAATCAGTCAGCGGGTAAACGGAATTAACTGGCCGAATTGTTTACAAGCGTTAAACATTTTAGTTGTTTACGTATCGAGTTATGCGGATCGACGTGGAGTGACCGATAACGCGCACCGAACGTGTGGATATTACGCTTATTACCCAGTGAATAAAGGTTGATAATTTTTTCAGAGGGGTCTTCAAACGAATGAACGTATTACGAGGTGCACTTGAGCTAAATAAAAGAGATAATCATAGTGCATATACACTATAAAATGTAAAATGCAGTAAAAGTGGTATAATCGATAAAAAATATACTACGGAAAATGTATTTTTATTTCTAGTGCTGTCTATTTTCTTCCTAAATAATACACATAACGTTTTACCTGTCAGTTAAACATTCGGTAAGACGGATTAAAGACTAGTTTACACACTGGAAGCTTTACCTGCAGTTTTAGATTAATTTGGAAAACCCTGCTTTTATCAATTATAGCATATAGTATACAGGGTGGTCCGAACTGTATTCCGGAAACTTCGGCAGCATATTCTGCAGATACAAATAAGTAAAAAAGTTCGTATAAATGTATGTCCTAAAATGCTTAGTTTCGGAGATACAGGGTGTAGAAGTATCATTTTTATTTCGATTATTTCCAAATAATTCATGTAGTAACGTGAATAACTGGATGAAAATTGGTGTCTGAGAGTTTTTTGACACCAGTAATTTGGATTTTAATGTCAATATGACTCCTACTAGTAGAGGGCGCCACCTACATATTTTTTAACTGGTGTGAAGAGTAATAATTTTTCGTCCGTGCCTGTATAAAACTACTGAGTAAAAAATATACATTTACGACGCTTTCTACGTAAAAAAGGTCTCTTGGTAAAAATCGCTACGAGTAATGGTTTTCGAGATATTTGGAATCGAAATTATCAATACCTGTCATCACTGACATAAATTAAACATGTTGACTAAATAGTTATTAGACTGAGATCATAAATTTGAAATGTTTTTGTACCAAAAGTTCAACAAAAACTGTTTTATCTTAATTTTTTGCAGAAAAAATATGATTCATTTAAAAAAATAAAAATTTCCCAAATTTATTATTTCAGTGAAATAACTATCTATTCAACGTGTTTATTTTTCGTCAATAATGGCATGTATTGACTATTTCCATTCTAAATATCTTGAGAACGGTTGCTCGTAGCGATTTTCACAAAGAGATCTTTTGACTAAAAATCATTCTAAATATCTTCAGTGAGATATATATATATATATATATTTTCATAAATATATCTTTACGTAAATATCAGAAGGGTTTGCTCGTATATATATATATATATATATATATATATATATATATATATATATATATATATATATATATATATATATATATATATATATATATATATATATATATATATATATATATATATTTTTTCCCTCGGTAGTTTTATACAGGTACGGACAAAAAGTTATTACGCTTCAAAACAGTTAAAACACATGTAGGTGGCGCCCTCTACCAGTAGGAGTCATATTGACATCAAAATCAAATTTCTCATGTCAAAAAACTCCCACACACCAATTTTCATCTTAATATTGACGTTACTTCAGAAATTATTTGGAAAAAATCGAAATAAAAATGAAATTTCTACACCCTGTATCTCCGAAACTAAGCATTTTAGGACATACATTTATAAGAACTTTTTTACCTATTTTTATCTGCAGAATATGCTGCCGAATTTTCCGGAATACAATTCGGACCACCCTGTATAGTAGCACAGTTCAGATAACTAGGAATAGATGTCGCTAACCTAACCTAACCTACCATGATCCAGAGAAAGATCTGAGAAGCCAGATAAACAGAGTAACGGCCATGTCAGGATGTCTGAGGCAAATAGTGTGGACAAACCCCTTCATGCGAACAGACAGCAAATTTAAAATTTATAAGACCTGCATCAGACCAATAATGACATATGGCATAGAAATCCGAGAGGAAACAAACAAGACCAAAAACATGTTAAGAGTCGCTGAAATAAAGAACTTAAGAACCATAATGGGGAAGACTAGAAAAGACAGAATTAGAAACAAAAATATCAGACAACAATGTGGAATACAGAACGTAGTGAGATGGGGTGGACAAAGAAAAATACAATGCTTCGCACACGTAAAATGCATGGAAGAAAACAGGCTACCACTCATAGCTCTTGAAGGGAAATACATGAGTAAGAGATAGTCGGGAAGACCCCCAAAAAGATGGAAAGACAGTTGGCAGTCCATGTCCCAAGAACTCCTACAGAGGCAACCTTAAAATTAACAGATCTCAAATAAGTAAAAGAAGAACAAGAAGCATATAGTAAAATTATTGAAATGAAAAAACAGACTTTAACTACAAACTTCCATTTATGGTTTAAATTTAATCTGTAAACACGCAACTATTTGTGAAAATAGTAACATTATTAATATTTATACATAATTGTGTAAAATTACCTTATTTTGTGAAGCTATACAAAAATATTATATTTTTAAAAGTCGTTTATTAAAGATGCTCTATATCCATCCTACTCTGGGCGCCAACCCACCAAGGGATAGAAGGCAATGAAAAGGCAGACGATCTAGCTAGAAAAGGAGCAAACGCTTCACTAACTGGACCGGAACTGTTCTGATTCCCAAGTAAAAACCAACTTAAAGCAGAACTCAATAACTTAGAAGACTCCATTCGTAACTTGCAACTGTTTAAGACACTCGAAGAACTTTCTCAGAATTTACGACCGAGAAAAATCAAAGATTTTCCTTGATTTAAGTAAGAACAATCTTCGGAGTGTCACGGGGTTTTTAACAGGACACTGTCTCAACGAACCCCTCAGCCGATTGAAGCTAGGAAACAACGACAAATGCAGATTCTGGGGAGAAAATGGGGAAACCCAGAACACCTCATCACTGAGTGCGCCGAAACGCAAACCATTCGTGCCATGAACTTTGATAAGACTGATAAATAATTAATTAACCTCTATAAAACCGTCTTAGATACTGACTTCTGTCAAAGCCCAAAACTCGTTATAGCTCAATAAAAGGGGACGCAAAATAGATATGTAAGGTCGCGGTGATTAACCCACCTCCCATACATTCTACAACCCCAAATGATCCCGTCATCGAATTGAATGATCCCATCAGTTCTCTAGACGTTCTTCCGTGTTAATTCAATTCAAGCAAAAGGGTGTCTTTTCGCCTATACGCCATGTTTTACCTGATACATTTAGGCTGAACAGGTAAGACTGACAAGTAAAACATAATACTTAAGCTTAAGACGAGAACTTTCGATAATCAACAACCATCTCTCGTTATGGAGGAAACTTATAATAGGAGGAATAACTATCGGAGCAATCCAGAACTAAGATGTTAAAGCAGGAAAAGTCAATTTTTGAATAAATAAAAGTGATCGAAATCGATAATTGTGTCATTTTTGGTTATTAAGTAGTGTACTGCTTTTTAGCTGTGTAATAAAATAGTTAGGTGTTTTATAATGTGTTTAAGAAGAACCCATGGAATCAATTTCAATATTTTGATTTCAGGTAAATGAAAACCGTCCAATCTTTGAATAAGAAGACTAAGGAAGGAGCATAATGCTATCCATGTATTCATGCATGGTGGACGGAAAAAGCACCATAAAAGCACTCTAGGGTGGGGATCCTTGACAGTTCTGTTTGACGATTCATTTGACACATTTGAATTTGATTTGAAATTTTGTGGATTTGTCAGTCTTTACGGAGCTTATTTTATGTTATTTATTATTTATTCTGCTACTGATAGTTGTATAAAGGTAGTAAATCTAGATGGAAATTGTGGCAGAACTTAAATTAACAGTGACACTATCGCGATTTATCGAAAAAGACTCTAAAATAGTTGGTTGTGTAGTGTGCGGTAGATCTCGGCAAAAATTAAGTGAAATAATGGAACAACTTTTCGCTAGTAAGTGACTATATAATATACATACGTGTAGTAAACCGATCATTTATGAAATTCACTTAAATTAACTAAATTATATATTTTTCTTGCATTTTAGCTTTTATTTATTATTTGTCAAAGATTAGATGTCAAAGAATTTAGAAATGTTAATTTGACTTACCTGCTTCAGTAGCGTATCGGATGTTTGTGTTACTAAATACTTATTATAACTTATCTATTTTTATTAGAATTATATATTTTTATAACAATTTTAATAACTACCAACATTTATTCACAACGTAAAATAAAACAACAAATTATTGAGTCTACCCCACGTCTACCCTACATTATAGTTTTACATTTTTTAAATAAAATTAGAACGACACTGATAAACCGGAATTTAAGTCGGCCATATTTGAGGCCCATAGCGGTGTACCTAAGATTTTTGATATGCTCCTTCCTTAGTCTTCTTATTCAAAGCGTCCAATAAATAAAATACCTGTTTTTACTCTGTTTAATGCTTTAAACTTAATGGCTTCCTATTGGTGTTTCGAGGTTACTTAAGTTTTTCTTTGTAGCGTGCTATTCGCTTTTTACATTGGTAGGGATATATTTCACTAACATACAAAAATAAATAGTCCTTACTCGATATGATATGCCCATCATTTTAACACGTACACGATAATTACATTAGAGTGATTACATTAAAATCACTATTACCCTGACCCATTATTCTCCTATTTATTTTTAGATACATTTTCATTATTTGAAATTATGTACATAGTTTATAGATGTATTTCTTGCCCATTTTTACCCTTCATAAAATTCAGGACATTTATTTTCAATATCAATTATTTGCTTTTTTAACATTTACATAATAGGAATATTAAGGTGATAACAAATACTTTACCCAATAAAGCAAACACATTTGGCTGAAATTTTTGTTGTCAATTGAAAAACAAATTATTCATTGCTATATGAAAATACAAAAACATTTCTTTCTATACAAATCTAAAAATTCCTTTATAGAAGGATTAATTACAACGCGCTGTGTGCAATTTATCCAATTAGTAATTAAAATAATTTTTCTTACTATTTTTTTACCTATTAATTAATATTTTTAATAGTAGGTATATAATTCGTTGTAAAACTATTTATGCATCGGTCTTTTACTCTCATTCATTTACGA